TTGCACGGATTAAAATCGTTAACCGGGGGTCCACTGTATAAGTGCAGGCAGTACCCACATAACGATTTGAATTAAAAAAAAAAATCCCATAGCCTTTCATTATATAGATTCAAATATTGTACATCTAGAGTGAGGGAATTATCTCTGAACCTATAAAACCCATTAAATATACAGGTAGGCCCCACTTATACGGCTGGTTAGGTTCCAGGCTACCGCCGTAAAGTGGAACACCCTTTTTTTCCACTTACAAATGCATACAAACACTAGATAACAAGTTTACACTAACATATATTAACCCTTTCAGGGTCCGTCCCGTAGATCTACGGCTTTACGTTCAGGGTCCAAACCGTAGATCTACGCCATGAGCTCAGCTCACTCTGATAAACTGTGAGTGGTACATTTGGGCCTAGATATGAGAGAATACATCTATGTGGTATGTGTGCACCACATAAAACAGATCCTGCAGCACACTGTGTATAATGAGAGAAAAAAAATGAAATCATGATTTTTCGATTAAAACAGCAACTTTGCAGTGTTTTTTCGTATGTTTTTTATAGTTGTATTTGCGATTTCTTGGTTCATTTGATAGAATGGAAGACATATTACAGAAATAGAGATGATTTTGATTGGTTTTAGTACTGGAAATGGCTTGAAACTGAGCTCAAAGTAGCAGAAATGTTAAATTTTTGCCCATATTCAAGAGTAAACAAACTACCTCACCGTCTAATACACGTCAGCTGGTGGGTCTAATATACATTCACAAATATGGTGATGATATTTATACAATTATTACAGTATTGCATAACAGTAAATCTTCTATTTTTTGGTGTGAATAAAAATTCATTATGTGAATAAAAATCAAAATGGAATTTATTTGTAAAGCCTCAAAACATAACTAATGAACAGAGGAAATGTTAGTTTAGTGCCAGGAATGCCTACATTGTTCATTCTGGACCCTATTTTGAAATTGGAATATTTTGAACTTTGTGTTAAATTGGCCAAATTAACAATTTCCGATCACTTTATTTTGTAGTTGAAACAGTTGACTTGGCGATTTCTTGTGCTCAATCGATAGAATAGAAGTAATACTAGTGAAATAGCTAAGAATTTGGTTGATTGGAATTATGTAATTGGCCTAAAATGGGAGTCAAAGTCGGCAAAATCGCCGATTCGTAAATATCGCTGACACATCAAAATTCGCGAGAGCATAATTTCGTCAATTTTCCACCAAATTTCGTACTTTTTGTTTTATTACCTTCACAAAAATATTCTCTACGATTTCATAAGAAAAAATAACAAATTTTTTTTTGGAAAATTCTTGGACACTGGTGCGTGACTCCAGATTTGGGCCTTGGACCCTGAAAGGGTTAAGTTAGCAATAGAACCAGGCATCAAAAAACAATAAAAAGTACAATACACACATAGTGCACTCATTACTTACCTTAAAATATTTATAGTCTTAATCTAGGGTGAGACAAGTAGTATTTATTGTAAGAAATCAAGTGTGGTATGTATGGTAGTCAGCCGGGCTACCATACCAGGCCACATAATATTCTATTACATTTAAGCATCCCAGAGTGATAAAATGGATATACAGTTTACTCATTACTTACCTTAACCCTTTCAGGGTCCAAGGCCCAAATCTGGAGTCACGCACCAGTGTCCAAGAATTTTAAAAAAAAAAAATTGTTATTTTTTCTTATGAAATCGTAGAGAATCTTTTTGTGAAGGTAATAAAACAAAAAGTACGAAATTTGGTGGAAAATTGACGAAATTATGCTCTCGCGAATTTTGATGTGTCAGCGATGTTTACGAATCGGCGATTTTGCCGACTTTGACTCCCATTTTAGGCCAATTACATTATTCCAATCAACCAAATTCTTAGCTATTTCACTAGTATTACTTCTATTCTATCGATTGAGCACAAGAAATCGCCAAGTCAACTGTTTCAACTACAAAATAAAGTGATCGGAAATTGTTAATTTGGCCAATTAACACAAAGTTCCAAATATTCCAATTTCAAAATAGGGTCCAGATGAACAATGTAGGCATTCCTAGCACTAAACTAACATTTCCTCTGTTCATTAGTTATGTTTTGAGGCTTTACAAATAAATTCCATTTTTGATTTTTATTCACATAATGAATTTTTATTCACACCAAAAAATAAAAGATTTACTGTTATGCAATACTGTAATAATTGTATAAATATCATCACCATATTTGTGAATGTATATTAGACCCACCAGCTGACGTGTATTAGATGTGTGAGGTCGTTTGTTTACTCTTGAATATCGGCAAAAATTTAACATTTCTGCTACTTTGAGCTCAGTTTCAAGCCATTTCCAATGCTAAAACCAATCAAAATCATCTCTATTTCTGTAATATGTCTTCCATTCTATCAAATGAGACCAAGAAATCGCAAATACATCTATAAAAACATACGAAAAAACACTGCAAAGTTGCTGTTTTAATCAAAAAATCATGATTTCATTTTTTTTCTCATTATACACAGTGTGCTGCAGGATCTGTTTTATGTGGTGCACACATACCATATAGATGTATTCTCTCATATCTAGGCCCAAATGTACCACTCACAGTTTATCAGAGTGAGCTGAGCTCATGGCGTAGATCTACGGTTTGGACCCTGAACGTAAAGCCGTAGATCTACGGGACGGACCCTGAAAGGGTTAAAATATTTGTAGTCTTAATCTAGGGTGAGATGAGTAGTATTTATTATAAGAAATCAAGTGTGGTATGTATGGTAGTCAGCCAGGCTACCATACCAGGCCAACCCACCCACACATACTGTATATTCCATGATATTTAAGCATCCCAGAGCGATAAAATGTATATACAGTTCACTCATTACTTACCTTAAAATATTTGTAGTCTTAATGTAGGGTCAGGAGTAAGTAAATGAGATAAAACGAATAAATGAGAGAGAAAGAATGAGTGCATGAGAGGGGACAGGCGCAGAGTTATGTAAACAAACCAGGCGAAGGTAAGTTTTCTAAATGAAGTGTACGCGTCTGGTTTGTGTACAAGTTACATTGTGTACAGGTTGTCTCTACATTGATATAGTAGAATAAATAAAGAAGAACACTCCCATTCTCATGTAACATCATTTTAAGAAGAAATGATGCTCTGAGTGAAGGCAATGGAAATAAGTCACTCTGACTTTTTTGGGTTATCCTAGGTTCTCTACACATATGTTATGTATGATAATCTATGTAACTGTATTTGTGTATACCTGAATAAACTTACATACGAAAGGAATAATTTTCTACAGTTACCCCCAGTAACACATTTTCTCTTATGTTAGATTAGAGAAAATGTTTTTCTTGGCATCACTTGTACAAGTTATCTGGCTATGACATCTCATATTTATGTTTATTTATTCTATTGTTGGGTGTATTTATCATCTTTTTATGTTATGTATCGTGTTTATTATATAATTTTGAAAAAATATCATGGATGGATTAATGAAAATGTGTATATTAACGTAATATACAACATTTAATAAGACTCGGTGATTATTATTATTATTAGCATTTCTAATATGGCGTCACTTGTGCAAGTCGTCTGCTACCACATCTCATATTTATGTTTATTTATTCTATTGTGGGGGTGTATTTATCATCTTTTTATGTTATGTATCGTGTTTATTATATAATTTTGAAAAAATATCATAGATGGATTAATGAAAATGTGTATTTAACGTAATATACGACATTTAAATGAGACGATGATTATTATTATCATTACTAATATGACGTCTGGAGACATAAGACACTCTTACTGATTTTAATGTGTACCTGCATGCCAGCACAGTATGTAAGTTTATTTAAGTACAGGTATACATAAGTATAATTATCAGAGTATATATAAAATATGAAATAACTTTTAAAAACATTTGAAATTTTGGAGTTTCCAGACAAAATGGAGAGACTTAGTGCTTACTGAGCTCACGAAGAATGTAAACAAACAAGGTGGGGCGCGGTGACCGTATTAGAAAGTCAGGTGGGGGGAGCCGTATAGCGAGTTTTGGTCATAATTTGAAATGACCGTATTAGCGGAACGCCATAAAGTGAAACGCCGTAAAGCGGGGCCTTCCTGTACTGTATTTTATGTATTTATGACCTAATTGACTCACTTGAATTTAGCATGTAATGGTTTTGAATGGTGGACAAAATAAGAAAAGTAAAAGTAAATACAGAAAGGAGCAAGGTGATTAGTGTAAGAAGTCTAGTTAGTGAAAGATTGGAATTTATTGAAGAGGGGGGACTAAAAGGAAGATGTAGTATTTAGATATTTGATAGTGGTTGTTCCTTCAGTGGAAGTGCCTTGAACCAAGGAATTAGTTACCCTGCCCTTATGTGAACCAATCTTGTTTATCTCCCATTTCCCATGCACTATGTTTTCTGTAGGTTTAAGCCCTTGCAATGAGTAATAATAATAATAATAAAAATACTAGAGTGGATGTGTAAGACTATGGGTCAATGAAAGATAGGCGAATCATACAATATACAGGAGGCCCTCTACATTCGCGAGGGTTAGGGGATCAAGACCTTCACAAATCTTGAAAATTCGCGAATGTTTGTTGCGCAAATATGATGTAGGAAGAAAGAAAGGAGAAAGGCAGGTGGGATCTACTGTTCCTGTACTTTGTAGGATAGATGGGGCCGTTACAGTTTATTGATCATTTTAATTATGCCTTTGCAGTTGTAGAAAAAACAGCTATGAAGTAAGTGGTGGTAAATGTTTCTCTCTCGGTCACCATACCTTTGCTAGAAAATGGTTGATGTGTTAAAAGTAAGCATTAGTGAAGCCTACAAATAAAAATGAAAATATATTTCACAGATTTACCAATCAAGGTAAATATGTGAAACTTCCCATCCCCCTTTCCCCCTGTTGTACCTCCTTTCTCTGTCCCTCATTCTGGAAGATATTAGGTGCATAAATCATTGAATGTTTTTTAAATGTGGCATTTTACTTGCAGATTACTACGAGCATACGAGTCTGAGCTAGCAAATGTAGCACTCAGTACAATGGAGTCTTCACGAACAGTTGCACAGATCCTTTACGACATTCGACTTCCTGACCACCAAAATCTGTAGTCTAGTGAGGTTTTCACAAAGGGAACATAGTGACATTGGAATCCTCTCATAATAGGGTAAAATTACCTCCCTGATATTCCTGATCCTGGGATGGTACTTAAAAGTGGCATCATGTACACATTATTTGAGGGCCAATTGAAGTGTTCTATGCTGTCCATAGTACATTTTGTGAACTCTTTAATTCTCCATGTGTGATGGTACACTAGATTGTAATATATCAGGTCCATGAATTTGGACACATAAATAGTGCAATTATTTAAGTATTGACATGAAATGAGAATGATTGAGAACATTAGTGAGTGGTATTTATATTGTGCCAGTGACTAGGTGGAAGATAAAGTCTTTGCTTGTTGGAGACCTGCCTTGTAGTTTTTTCATTCCTTATGTTAGACTTTTGCATTTAGATATAAAAACCTATCATTGTATAGAACTCAAGGTTCAAGTCTGTGGTATAATTTTTACTATTTATTTTTTAATTAGCACATTTAATTTTTTAAGTTTGAGAGCTTATGTAGATATTGTCTGAATGCTGTGTAAATGCTACTTTAAAGGGTCATTATATTTTAATGAGTAATCTCATATTGCTAAATTAAGCTCTTTTATGACAAATTTAGCAAGGAAGTGGATCTGTAAGCACAGTTTTGTAAATTTTGTACACAGTGTATAAAGAAAATAAATTCTGTACATGTAGATTGTAGTTTAAACCACTTTTTCTGCTAAAAGCAAGTTAAAGACAAATTTCCTCCAGTACACATGCTTGAGAGGCAGCTGAGGGTATTGGTGCCGGGTGCCAGCACAAGGTCCAGAGATGTAAATGGGGGTTTTGTATATTGTACAGATGAGGACCTATTTAAAAAAATATATTGAAAGGAAAAAAAGTTGTGATACCAAATATATAATTTTTTTTTAAAGAAAACTTCAACGCTACACGGAAAACTAATTCTATTTTCTATCATTATTTGTAGAATTATAGATAGTATATTATTTTTTACCAGTTTGACATGTATGATGTAAATACTGGGCAGTAAATAATGATTTTTAAGAATAATTTCTATTATACAAGAAGCATATACTCTGTGCATCATAACAGTTATGAATGGAATTAGATGAAAGGAAAAATGTATATTTCTAGATTACTATAGTCCTCATATGAAAATTAAAACTCCGTACCTGAGTCACACTTCACAGATTATTGTTCTACTGGTCAATGTTCTCTTAAAGTTGGGACAGGACTGCTGGTATCACAAGAAGCTGTGCTAGACCCCACTTTATAGTAAATAGTTTAAAGCTTTACAATGACAAGCTTGTGTCCAGCCAATGTTACCGCTGCTGCTGTCATGATCTTGGTAGAAGTTCTGAATTTGGGGATTATTTGCACATAAATGGCTAGGCGTATTTGAGTGCATGCTTGCGAATGTGTGTGTGTGTGTGTGTGTGTCGTGCGCGCGCGTGCGCGTGTTGCATCTGGTGGCTGTTTCACAAACTTGACTCTTAGTAGTACCATTAGGTGTCAGGTGGACATGAAAGTGTGGGCACAAACTAGGAGTCGTCCAATCATTATCTCCTTTGTTACTACACCACTGTAATGGTATCTGACCAATGGTTGTGCAATGTATACAGCTTTTTGAATGGTGCTGACAACTTGCAATGAGCATGGCAGCAGCAGATATTTCATGCTACACTTTTGTATCATTCCCAGATGAACATTTCTTTATCAAACTTTACTTTCCTGATGCACTGAGCTGTGTCTTCTGTTAAAACAACTCGCCAAACATTATCATTATTTTTTTTCTAATAAAATATTGTAAATGTTAATGTAAGTTTTCATCAATGAATCATGAAGACTTCATTGCTTTCTCATTTATCCCATTAATCATGGTCAAAATAAAGTGAATAACATAAAGCTTCAATAAGTGTATGCAAAGAAATACAGATAAAAGGGGTAAAAGAATAATTCAATAGATCTCTATTAAAAAAAAATCATAATTCAATATATGGCTCTTTTCAAACCCCCAAATTAATGAGCTTCAGTTATCTAACTAACTGAAGGGTGTCTCATGAATAGCTTAGATTACTTGCATGTTTAATGCAGAATACATTTTCTTTTGCTGTACAACCAATGTAACAACTGTAGGAGTTAAAAATGTGCTCATTAGATTTAACCATCCAAGTTTCTCAATTAGTTTTGTGGATATGATTAATGAAGGTAGAGCAGTATTTAATGAGATATGGCCTCTTGAAACAAAATGAGCCCACTTTTAAATCAAACTCATTATAGTAACATAATTTGTGATGACCCTCCCATGAATTTGGTGGTTTGACTACTGCATCATGATTTATTGCCTTGAATTTCATCAATTTTTTTTTTATTTAACATTTCACACTTAGGGTTGAGTGGCCTTGAAAAAAGAAAGCATGTTTAACTTCACTTTCCCCTAAGTGTCTTTCCAGACGTGTACATACACCACTATTTAACTGGGTCACAGAATCATATCAGATTTACATATCCTTGAAAGTAAAGGACCACTTCTTTTCAATGTTCCCTTCTTTCAAACATTTTTTTTTTTTTTTTTTTCAACAAACCGGCCGTATCCCACCAAGGCAGGGTGGCCCAAAAAGAAAAACGAAAGTTTCTCTTTTTAAATTTAGTAATTTATACGGGAGAAGGGGTTACTAGCCCCTTGCTCCTGGCATTTTAGTTGCCTCTTACAACACGCATGGCTTACGGAGGAAGAATTCTGTTCCACTTCCCCATGGAGCTCTTTCAAACATACGTTAAACAAATGCTGTACGCAAATATTCTGCAGTTCTTTTCTGGCCATTTTGAGCCATTCACTGGAAATGGAGTGGGGGAGGAGCTTGATGCTGGTGAATGGCTCTTGATCTAAGAAATTGGAGCTGACATTTGGAGTGAACCTGATTATCTTGTATCCAGATCCTTCTGGGTTTAGTGCTTACATAATTCTCTCATTCTGTGGGTGGTTAGCATTATTCCTTCATTTCAGTCATCCCTGTTTCTTTATGACCTTAACCTTACCTTACCCACTTCCTCTGCCCTTGCCTTTGGCTCCTGCCTCCTAACCCTTTTTATAATCACTGCCCTGTTCAAGAAATCACTGCCTTTCATTAACCATAACTGAAATACAAGAGACGTTTGCATAACACACGTTCATGTTGCACCTCAATGTAACACTAGTGAAATTTTGTTTGCTATTACCACAATGAACAGGAAAAAATGGTATTGAAAGCTGTAGCATGTAATAAATATGGGAGAAAATAAGCCTTACAGATAACATGCCAAGTCTGGCTAGAACACTCCATGGGACATTTTTTTCCCTCTGCATCTCTGCCTGCAGGTAAGTCCATTGTCTTCAACTGGGAGACCTAATCTTGCTTTTGATGAACCTCCAATACAGCCAATAGGACTGTACATCTGCCTACTGAGGCATGTCTTGTTCAATTGATTTTCAGTCTTTTCATTGCTCCATTTTGTCTGAATATTAATTATGGCACTCAAGAGTAGTACTAGTGATGCTACAGATGTCAGACTTTCTAAAAATAAAAATTGTAGTATTAGAGGCGTAGTGGGAAATGTTATGTACTGACTTGCTGATTACCCATAATTACTGTATTCTGTAATTGCACATTTACCTACCTTAGCCACTTTTATACAATTGTTGAATATGTTGGTGTATATGTAGATATTGGCATAGCAGCTGTTGCTGTTGTGTTTGAGGGTTGAGAAGGCCACCAGAGTAGTACCACACAGTCCTGCCACTTCTGTGGTAGGATTACTGAACACTGAACTAAACTGAATCAACAGCTGATACTACCTACTACATGAAAATAAAAAAATAAATATAGAGCAGCATTTAAAATATAGAAAGGTCAAAATGCCATATATCTACAGAAAAAATAAGAGAAATACACATTTGTTTAAACTCCCCTTACAACCTCTACCCTACAGTGCTGTATGACCCTGGTGGTTTAGCACTTGGCTTTGATTATAATAATGTCCTCTATTTCCTTGAATTAAAGTTGCCTCCCATTCCCCACCACTGCCCCTCAAGGAAGGTTCCTTGATGTTGGTGAGGGGCTCTTGATTTAGGGAATTAGATCTGTGCTCCAGTTCCCCGAATTAAGCCTGAATGCCTTCCACATCCCTCCCCCCCTCCAGGCGCTGTATAATCCTCCGGGTTTAGCGCTTCCCCCTTGATTATAATAATAATCCCCACCACTGCAAGTTTGGCACTCCCACTCCTTCCCCAGCATGAAAAATAATTGATTGTCTTACTGTCTATATAACATTTCCTTTCTAATTTAGTTGGCCTGGTCTGAGACTGGGCCACAAAATGCTGCTTTGAATCAGGAATCTTCTTGTATATGATGTTTTATAAAAGATTTTTTATTCTGATGTCTGTTGTATAGCACAATCGTAAGTGTATTTTCACGAGTAAACACTAATGAAATGATACATAAATTTTATACCCCTCAAGGAAGGTTCCTTGATGCTGTTGAGGGGCTCTTGATCTAGGGAAACAGATTTGTGCTCCAGTTCCCTGAGTTAAGCCTGAATACCTTCCATATCCCCCACAGGCCCTATATAATCCTATGGATTTAGTGCTTCTCCATGATTGTAATAATAATTTCCTACTTTATTATAAGGATAATTATTGTTAGGTACAGTTTTGTTTAAGTTACCCTGTCATACAAAGATAGTGTATCAATGCAGATAAATTGAAGATCTGTGATGCTAAGCAGGAACCCAGGATGCAGCACGTGGTACCTCTGGATCACCACACTGAGGTGATGGAAGAGGAAAGTAAGTAGCCCTAAGTGTTGAATAGTACTGATGAGCCTGAAAACCAATACTTTGAATCTTTTTTTTTTTTTTTTTTTTGCAGGGGCCAAGGGTCTCTGTTCAGTGGCTGTATAGCCCTTGTGGCTTAGCACTTCTTTTTGATTATAATAATAATAATCTCTGTTCAGTGGCACATGGTGTATGACCCTTGTGGGTTTAGTGCTTACTTATGATTATTATTATATAATAATACAGTACAAATCTAGCCAATAACATTACAGACTACTACTGCCCAAGTTAGAGATTACTTCAATGATAACCATCCAAGCTCCTTGTACTTACCCTCATGACCCTTGTAGGTTGAGCGCTTCTTTTTGATTATAATAATAATGTACTTACCCTAGACTACTTCAACTTGGGTTACCTCTGCAATTGTTGCTGAAAAAATAAAGCAGAACAGCATATGTACTACCATTATTTAGCGCTTCCCCTTGATTATAATAAATAATGTACTACCATTCATGAACAAATCTCATGTATTGTCACCAATTATTATGTCTTTGGTCAATAAATCAAGTGATACCATAATAAAGTTAGCAAGAGTTACACCAATCTATAAAAAGTGGACCCAACAGAAGTCAGTAATTAAAGACCAATTTCAAACTTGCCACTCCCCTCAGGGAAGGTTCCTTGATGTTGGTGAGGGGCTCTTGATTTAGAGAATTGGATCTGTGCTCCAGTTCCCCGAATTAAGCCTGAATGCCTTCCACATTCCCCCTTCCCAGGTGCTGTATAATCCTACGGGTTTAGCGCTTCCCCTTGATTATAATAATAATAGTAATCAAACTTGCCACTGTCTATATTCTTGGAAAAATACTTTCTGATTATAATAATAATTTTGAAAAATAATATATAAACAAACACACGATTTCATATGGACCTATGCTTCCCTTCCTTGAATCAAACCTGATTACCACCCATTCTCCCAAGCACTATATTACCCCAAAGGGTTTAGTGCCCCCATGAATGTAATAATACTATATGACTTCACAGCCAAACGCTCTATCCTTAACTTGTCAGTTTGGATTCTGGGTGGGATAAAGTACCGATGATGGAATAAAAATGCTTGGGTCAGTCTATTCCTTTATGAAAATAAATAATGAGCCTCTTTATCGACCTAAAAAAGCTTTTGATACAGTAAACCACAACATCCTGTTACTCCAATTAGAACATAAGAACTAAGAGGACACGCCCTCTCGTACATGAAATCTTGAGGGACAGACATCAGTATGTGACCATTAATGAATTCTTCAACAACCTGACTGATCAAGGTAGTGTTCTGGGCCCCTCTGCTATTCCATATTTACTTTAGCGCTTAGTTTTGATTTTAATAATATTCCTTATCTACATCAATAATCTTTCCAAATACCTCACAGGGACTTAAACCAAATTTGTTTGCAGATGACACAGCTTTTGTCACTTCAAATGCTGATTCAGTTGCACTCAACACTAAACACACAACTTGAAAGGAATAACAATATACCAGTCGACAGTGATGGCGAGAGTAAATTCTTGGGAATACACCTGGACAGCAAACTAAGATTAAATACATTCAGGGAAGAGTGCAATACCTGTAGGGGTCATATAACACTTAGGGAAGCGACCCTTCAAGAGGACTCTTAAGGACTAGCTTTCACAACTTAACAGTTTCATAAATTAAGTGACATTAATATGCAAGGAAATGCATTAAAAAATTTGACTACCATGCAGAGCAGATTAATTGTACTGGAGGTAGATGGACAGAATGAATGTATTTAACTTGAAATATCTGAAGCACCCCACAATGGAGGTATCCTAATACCAGTGAGTCTTTGCTTCAGGGAAGTGAATCGGCCCTTCCCTTCCTTAGAGCAAACGTGACTACATCCTATTCCCCATATGCTGTATGACCTCCCTAGGGGTTTAGCACTTACCCCTGATTATACTGTAATAATACACTTGATATATTTGAAGCGCTAAACCCGTGTATATTATTCAGAGCCAGGAGTGGAGGTGACTCAGCCCTCCATTCACTAGTTGCAGCTTTGCCTCTAACCAGAACTTTATAAATAGTGACAATGTTAACATCCTGGAACTTGGCCAGGGAGGGATCCACTCTCATCGCAACATATTGCAAAGGGCATTAAAAATACGAAGCTCAAGTTACTGTCTTATTATAATCATGAAGTTTTAAGATTTAGCACTCTCTTGTAATTATAATAATAATTATAATATAATAATAATTAATATCTTTTACAATTTTATTCTTGACAATCCACAATGTTTGTGTGTTGTGCCTCTTTCAGTGCTGCTTCATGTAACTGCTTGAGGTGGTTCATGTAGTAATGACGCTCACAGTCACCCAACAAGGTACCACTACTTTTACGACGGTATAACAATTTCCTGGCCAGGAGTTTAAAGCCCCTCTTTCTGGCCCAGTCAGCAGGAGTGCGACCAGCAGTGTCCTGAGCCTGGAGGCTGCTGCCCCGCCTCACTAACAGATTACAGGTGAGTTCTTTGCCTTTGGATGCGGCTCTGTGCAAAGGTGTCATGCCTGACCGTGAGGTGGCTTCCTGAAGTGCCCCATGTTTTAACAATATCTTCACTACACGATTGTGGCCTGCCTGGGCAGCGGCATGGAGTGGCGTATTGCCCACCACATCCTGTCTGTTAACCTCTGCGCCTGCGGCCAGCAACAGCCGCACAATGAGGTCATGACCATGATGAGCAGCACGGTGCAGGACGGTAGCCTGCGCTGGCCAGTGAAGTGCCAAGGGCACTACTGCATTTGGTGGGGCACCCTCAGTCAAACATGTCTCTACAGTCACCGGACACCCATTTTCCACGCCTAGTATCATCTTTACTGTCACCGGAATTTCCATCGAGGGTTGCTCTACTCGGGTGCCTGGTGCCGAGTCTCTGCGCACCTCGCGAGGACATTCACACAACCCCAAGTAGCCTAAATGCTTCATCATTTCATAAGAAGTTTCGCCAATTTTATTAGGAAGAAAGATATCAGCATTGAGGCGGAGAAGCGTGCGGGCTACCTCAAGATGTCCATGAGCAAGTGCCATCTGCAATGGTGTCACACTTGAGCGGTTTATAGCATCCACAAAAGCGCCACTGTGCACTAGCTGTAAGGCCACCTCACTATGTCCGCCACGTGCTGCCACGTGCAGTGCACTATTACCCTGGTCGCATCGTGCATCTATGTCTGCTCCTGCGGCCAGCAAAGCCTGCACAACGTAGAGTGCTCCGTCATTTGCTGCCCGCAGCAGCGCTGGCAAATGACCGCAGCTCACATTTGCATCGGCACCTATTTCCAACAATGATCTTGCCTTCTCAGCATCATGGGAGCACACTGCATTACTTAAGGACTTATTTAGCTCTTCATTCGACAACTGTTTCTCTACTGCACCTGTCTGCTCTATCTGGTTCTCTTCCCATTCGTAATTGCTGTATTTTTCAACAGCAACCTCCAGGCATTTTCTCAACAAGTCCTGACCAAAGCTGACTCTGCTACCAGATCTAGAGCCACAGAAATTACGAGCATTGTTACTATCACGTGTACTGCCAGAATTAATATTGATGCTTTTGTTTCTGTTGCAATTAATGCCACTTTGTCTGCTGCCTCTTTGACTGCTGTTCGTTCTGCTACGACATGTGTCTTGTTGAAATATTGCCAGATCATTTGTAACATTTTGACCAGTGTTAGGATCATTTTCCTGACTGAAATCTCTATCATCTATGCTCTTCTTGTGGCAATTTTTAGATACAATTGTCAGATTTTTAGTGTTGCTTTGTCGACTTTTTTGTTGAGAATACAAATGTTCGTTGATGCTATCTTCATTATTCAGAGGACCGCACTCATCAATGCTACCTTGTCGATTATTTGAAGGAAGAGAAGGATGCTCATCAGAACTATTTTGTTGATTATTTGAAGAGAGAGAACTCTGATCTTCGATGCTATTTTGTCGACTATTTGAAGGAAAAAGAGTACGTGCTTCACTGCTAATTTTTCTATTTGGAAAAAGAGGGTGCTTATCAACGCTTCCTTGTCCTTTCTGTGAATGGGGGGGATGCTCGTTAATGCAATTTTGTACGTTATTTAGAAAAGAGTGCCCATCAGTGTTATATTCATTATCTGGAAGAGGAAGATGCTCATCAGTGTTTCCTTTTTCATTCTTTGAAGGAATAAAGTGTTTATCAATAATGATATCACTTTTATCATTAAATAATTTCTCTTTTTTATTTTGTATTGTAGCCAGAGTTCGCTGCCGTCCAGTAGTGGACACTGGGGACTGAGGATGCTTGGAAGCAGACGAGATGGGATGCATTTGGGACCTAATACCACCACATCGAGCCAACAGATTACCAGTTTTAAGCTTGGTAATGTCATCTATGAATGTCCAGGGCTGCAGAGTACGTAATGATTCCTCTTTTACTAAACTTGTTTCCCCCATATATACCTTTTTCCTTGTCAACTTTGAACTTTCATTGGTGTCAATAGATTCGCGTGTGTAATCTACAGACAACTTATCGGTTTCTGCAAATTGTTTCTGTTCCTGTAATGATAGCGATGATGCGTTTTGGGATTTTTTTACCATATTCGGAGCTCTGGCCAGATAACATTGTCCTTGCAGGGAAACTGGTGTAGGCAAATGGCTAGGATAGCTCACTTTTCTAGCCTCTCCCCACACGTAAGGGTTCTGACAATTATTCTCATCCTTCTGAACTTTGGGAAATTGATTTCTTGATGTCAAAGAAGCTTTACTTAGTGAGGCAACATGTGCCTGTAGATGAGCAGTGTTGTAACTTTTTGTGGCAACTCTGAGTGAATGTATGCTTTCATCAAGCATCTCATCCGCGTTTCTGTTTAAAGTGGGGTGGTTTGTAGAAGAGGAACTTTCCATAGGGCGATTACGGTAGTCAAACATGGTATACGGTGTCACGGCGTTATTCTGCAATTCCACTTTGCTGTTTCCTCCACTGACGTTTGCATCAGCCTCTTTATTTCCTCTGTAGTCTCTTTGACATTTGATGTCAACATTATTATATTTTTCTGTTTGCGAAGCATTCGTCGGATGAATGATACCGAAAATATTTTCAGAAATAGGGTTTGCAATATTAACTTGAATTGTTGGTGCTGCTGGCACGGACGAATTGAAGGCTTGGTTCTTGGTTTCTAACAGCAAGCTTGAGTCTCTGAAAATGTTTGTGTTCCTCTGCAAAACATCTGGGTTGTTTGATCGTAGTTTTTCTGTCTGAGGCTCTACAGCTTTATCAAGACTTGTAATATTTGTGCCATAATAATTTATAGGCACTTCATTACTGACCAGCGATTGACTTTTAACACCTTCATTGTCTTGTAAGATGTGCTTACAAAGACTTTTTTTGTTTATCTGAGCTGTCATCTCATCTCCAACAAATGTTGTGATGCTAGCTTTACCTGCACTTGTGCTTGTATCTATATCCCTTTTATTGTAATACACCGCCCCTGGATCATCAGTGCAGCTAACACTTTTGATATCACTGGCACCGTCATTTTTTGGCCCTGAAGTTGTGTAGGAACTCGTGGCAATACTTCCATAACAAGGCAATGGTTTAGCAAATAATCTCTGGGTAGCCTGCTCCTTGCGTCTCTGTATAAAGTCCTGAAACGAATCTCTGCGACCCTGGAGTCTGGCTTGAGACTGTTTGACGATGCTCTTAACAACGGTGCTGCAGAATCTTGGTCCTTTAATATAGGTAGCGTGCTTCTTGACAGATTGTTGCACTAAGTTTCGTACTCTGTCCTGCAGACCTAAACTGGGTCTTGGAATTTTGCATGCTTTATCGTTGTCCAGCATCATCACAATCTTCCTAGTTTCCTCCCGCAAGTTACTCCCCGGTATTTTTTGTACTGGCACAAACTCAGGAAAGAGATAGAGGCGTGAGGCTGTCGTCTCGTCAGCTTCATTGCGGCACACACTTCGAAAGCCATGAGATAATTGGAAGTTTTCTGAGTATTCAGCTACTGGTGTTTGACTATGACCCACCACTGAACTATGATACTCATTTATTAACTGTGTGTCTCTGTGGTCAAGGAAACAAAGAGCTGAGCTCTGTGCTGTGGCGATATTGGATAGCTGCGTCTGTGCGGTGCACCAGGATGATCTTGCCTTGGGATAGCGTGGCAGCGATACAGGGACGACACTTTTGGTGGGTTTAATGCTGAAGTGGTCGTCACTGGTGGTGTGGCCAGTGTCAGGGGCGAGTGAGATTGATACCACCTGCAGCTGACTTGCTGCCTCACTTCCAGTTTCTGATACATCACCACCATAATGTGTATTATGGCACTCCTCTGCAGCTGAAGATGTACTGTTTTCCCAGCTACACCCACAGGTCCTTGTCTGATTTGATGAAACATTCTGTGTTGATTCCACATTTCCCACTTCAATAAGCCTACTTTCACAAATTGCATCACACTGTTTACCCACATTTATTACTACTTTCCTATTTTCATTGAGCAGGGCGTCATGAGCACTATAATTTGAACTGATGTTTTTGTTCTTAAGGTCATTGTCAATTTTTAATGCATTTACATTATGTTTGTATTCTGCCAAAAAGTCCAATTTCTGTACAGATTCACAACACATATTTCCATCACTGTCACCGTTCACTGTTTCTTCCATGTGTTCCGCCACAGTGTTATTATCTCCATTTTTCCACGGATACACTGAGCTCTTGACACCATAACTCGTGTGAGCGTCCGTGACAGCTATGTCATCTTTAACCTTGGCTTTATCACCATTTATATTGCCTTCATCCACTCGCGAGTCCTGAGTGTCCTCCAAGCACTCATGGAATTCGTCGGTGTTGAATGAGTTTGAGTTGACTGTGTTGAGAGGCAGTGTATTGGGAACATCGAGTGCGTCTGGGATGAGTGTGTTGAGAAGTGGAGTGTCAGGGGCGTCGAAAAACACCTCCGGAGAGATGCTGCCGCTGGATGGAGTCGTAGACCTAGACATCACTTTGCACGGGGAGGGAAGTAGCAAGGCAGCCGGGTGTTGAAGCAGAGGATCACTGGTCAATGCTGTCACCGATGTCAGTGAAGGCTTGCTGTCCACATCTGAAGAAGATGGTTTTGCCTGTGGGTGATTACTGTCGTCCCCGGTAATGTAGGTGGTGCGGATGTCGCGTGTAGGAATGTGTGTGGTATTACTAGTGCCGCCAGATTTGTATCTGGTCAGCGGTGTTAGAATCTCTTCTGACGTCCCATGGTAACTCTCTCCGAAGATCTGTCACTAGATGGTACTAAGAAAGGGGGTTCATAAGAGCCTTTGTGCCCCTTCCCTTCACTCTCGACCATCTCTTTACCTCCACAGATGGTACGACACGTTATTTCCTCCTTTGTCCAAGATCTTAGATTTGTAATCTGAAGACTAAGATGTTTAAGGAGACTGTTATCTCTGACTGAGTTAAGAACAAACATTATGATGGAGGTCTTGTCTTACATAATGTTCAAGTTACTTTGTTTACATTTTCGGAGAATATCCTTGCAGGGAGATCATGGTTTGTGCGTCTTAATATGACGTATTGCAACCTAGTGATGAATTCTTCCACCAATGCAAGTGTTCACGTGCACTCTGAGGTCAGTGTGGGTACAGGTGAGGCCAAGGGAATGATGCGCCTCCATCTCCCACTCGAGCACTCACACCACTGCTCAAGATCATGCCATGATGCCAACTCCAGCCACACGTCATATGGGGCACGCAACTTTTCATACCCATACCCCTCTATCACGTTCATACCCTAATAAGTGCGTGCGCACTCCATATATATATTACATATATATATATATATATTATATATATATATTATATATATATATATATATATTTATATATATATATTATATATATATATATATATATATGCAATAAGATCACAGTAAACAGGTGATTTCAGAATATGCAAAACAACCACTCTGAAAGAATAGAGAAATTCCAAGCGCTTTCGTGACTACTCACACTGATAATGTGAGTAGTCACGAAAGCGCTTGGAATTTCTCTATTCTTTCAGAGTGGTTGGCTTAGCGCTTCTTTTGATTATAATAATAATAATTTCAGAGTGGTTGTTTTGCATATATATATATATATATATATATATATATATATATATATATTATATATATATATATATATATATATATATATATATATATATATATATTATATATATATATATATATATATATCACAATTAAATCACGTCCATCAACAAGATGGTAAGGGAAGGAAGGGTCCAGGAGTTGGAGCTCATCTTAATAAATTAAAATACATAATTACGTAATCAAAATTGTTTTATAAAATACAGTGTATTTTAATCTCATACTTCGCATTTTCTATTACAATAGTTTATTTCAGCTGGATTACGAGCTAAAGAAATTTGAAAAAAAAAAAATCATATAGCGGCTACGCTACAGGTCAGGCTCTAGCCTTGAAAAATAATTTGGCTACCACACCCATCACAAAACTGCTTTCCCAGGCGCTGCATGACCCCATGAATAAGGACCTGCCTTGTATGGGCCAGTAGGCCTTCTGCAGTATTCCTCCATTCTTATGTTCTTATGAAGAATATAATAACAACAATAATAATAAAGCCTATCTTTAAAGATGTGTATGATGTGTGAACTAGGCTTGACAGCTGTATTGGCAAATACTTCTTATATTCTGGCAGTGACGACCCCAGCAAGGGCACATGAGTGGGGCAGTAATGATAGACGAGCCATTACAGGGTAGTTGAAGACAGCGTTGCTGAAACAGCAGCCAGAAAACAACCACATTATAACCATACACTTGGCCCGAGATTCATCAGCTGCTTGTGTCTGTATGGTATTTTGTGCAGCTTCGTCAACTCAATTTTGACATGATATTAAATACCTTCGAGTTACGTCACTTCTACTGTGTATCTGGGAGTCATCTCACTCCCACTGTGTAGTCGCTCTCGCTTATTCACACCACTCCTACCGGGGCCAGGAGCTGTGTCTCGATCCCTGCCGCCACATATAGGTAAGTTCACCACTGAGAGGACTTAGGCAGGATTCCCCAGCTGGAGGAGACGTACCTGAAGGATGCTTCAGGGGGTCAGCGCCCCCCGCAGCCCGGTTCAAGAAGAGACCTGGTAAGTTGCTTGACTAATGTTTACCTTGTTATTTTTTGAAAGACTATTGTTATATCTTGGACTGAAATCTTGTCTGAAATGAGCTGCTGCATAAGCCGTGCTGGTTTAGTGCTTTTTTTAATGCATTTAACTTCTCAGTGTTCAGATATATAGTATTTAAAATGGAAAGGAATAACAGCACGGGTGAAAACTCACGTATTTACTCACCTATTTAAAATGTGAAACAAATAAAGGGAAGTAGAGAAGCGACTGCTGGACAAATATAAAAACATAAGATGGCTGGATGACATATCAATAACCTGAGTTCTGAAGGAATGTTCAGGAAAACTAAACTATCAACTTTTAGATCATGTTTTGGAACGTCAATATAAAAAGGTAAACTGGCAGTCAAATATTGATAGGTTTTACACCCAACACACCAAAGCAACCAGTGTGAATATTACTGTGTGATAAGGCACAACCAAGCAGTTGTCTTCATCTCACCATTTGTCATGAAATACACAAGTTTTGGAGCACAATCAATAAATCAAGAACAATCAGTGAGGTTAAAAAAAAAAACCTGCAGTGTTCTCGGGCGTCCAGAGTTAAAATCTGGAGAAACTGAACAAAGAATGTGACAACATGTGAGATGAACATGCAATTTTATTTTGTGGCCCGTGGCCTGGTGGCTAAAGCTCTCGCTTCTCACGGTGAGGGTCCGGGCTCGATTCCCGGCGAGGATGTAGGCATTGGGCGTGTTTCTTTACACCGGTTGTCTGCATTCACCCATCAGTAAAATGGGTACCTGGGTGTTAGTGGACTGGTGAGGGTCGCATCCTGGGTGTTAGTGGACTGGTGTGGGTCGCATCCTGGGTGTTAGTGGACTGATGAGGGTCGCATCCTGGGTGTTAGTGGACTGATGAGGGTCGCATCCTGGGTGTTAGTGGACTGGTGAGGGTCGCATCCTGGGTGTTAGTGGACTGGTGAGGGTCGCATCCTAAGGACAAAATTGACCTAATTTTCCCGAAATACTCTGCATAAGAAGCGGCTTTCTATGTAGTAGTATGTTATTGATGTCAGCTAGGCCTGTATACCTTGAATATGTACTTGTAGAAATAGATATTATTATTATTATTATTATTATTATTTATTATTATTCAGCACAAGTAGTAGTGAGAGACACCCAACATCTGGTAATCTTACACAAGTGTCTCATTATTCAACTTGTCGGTTTTCTAAATCATTTACATCACTAGTAGTAGCGGAGGTTCTTAATACTTATAAATCCTGGTGTTTATTATTGTATCGGTGTTGGGACCTCGTGTGTACGTAATGACGGGGGTTTAATTTGTGAGGTTATATTGTGTGTGCTGCTTTTTCCCCAGGTGCTATATTACCCCTGCTGATTTATCGTTTCCTCCTGATTATACAAATGATATAGTGTGTTGCTTTCGTTGGTGCTAAATGTCCTTACTGGCCCAGGGCTTTTTAAAATCAGCAATTCTTTCCTGGATCTACGAGGTTTAAAGGCACTATAACAAGGTTGTAGACGCTAGAAAACAACTATAGAAAGTTTTCCTGCAATCTCAGCTTCAAGAAGCATATTGCTGAGTCCAGGCAGTTTGCCGCTAATTAAAAGAATATATCAAATTTAATAAAAATCACTCTGTTCAACCGATGCAAATTAATAACGTGGATATAAATAGAGCATATTATAAATGAGGCAGCCAAGGTGATGGTATTTGGGCCCCCACTGACACCACTATAGCCTCGTGACGTCACGCTCACAAATAACTCCCTTGGCATTACAAACAAGACGGACGTGTTATTCCCTGACAGTGCCATATGACAGCCCGTCCTCCAATATAAGCAGTGAGCTTGGAGATAACATATCTTCAAGACAGGGGTGAGCAATATACGACCCCAGGCCATGGCCGACCCTCCAAGTAATTCTGTCCTGCTCGTCACTGTGTCTAGCAATTTAGGAAAATTTATAGTGTCTTCACTTTAAGAAATAAATTCGCTTTGATAAATGCCCTAATCATGAGCGGGGATGGGCAGTCATAACAGCAAGACCAGAGTCTTGAGGTACAGTGCCACCGGTTCCTCAAGGATCCCGATGGAAATAGTCACTATGACTTATTTTTTGAGGTTATCCTAGGTAATTTACATTTTGAATGATAATTGTACTTACGTGTGCCTGTGCCTATATAAGCTTACTCCATTCTTAATATCTTCAAGTGCTCGCCTGGCAGACTGGGAATTTTCATTTTTTTTTCTTATCTTTGCTGTGTTTACTTTTAACCCAAGGGAAAGGTGTGGGGCTGTTGGAGTGTGAACGTCTCGCTCTGTCTCTACCTTGAGCATCAGTGTCGATTTGTTTCTCTCTCTGGGACGTTTCTCTGAGGGACTCTGTTGGTAGAGTTTTCAGCTCACTAGAAGGTATACTCCTGGAGACCAAGGATCGCTTCCCGGCACAGGTGAAACGTTGGGCATGTTTAATAATAGTAATAATAATATGTATATGTTTTACGCTGTCAGGTGTAAGCCGACCCTATATGTTTATTTCGTTATTGTCAAGTCTGATATATTTCGATTTCCGGTTTAAATCCTTTTCAGAAGAAGAGCACAGGTTTCTGCTGAAGACGACCTGACACCTAGTTTGAAATATGCATAACTTTTGTTTCCCCTGTCTCTTGGCTGCCAACGAGTTGGTTCCCACTATTGATAAGTGTTCACGACACTGATGCTTATCATGGGTTAGTTTACGTTAGTCGAACATTATTTATAATACACATATTTACTCCATGGGGAAGCGGAGAAGAATCCTTCCTCCGTAAGCCATACGTGTCGTAAGAGGCAACTAAAATGCCGGGAGCAAAGGGCTAGTAACCCCTTCCGTATAAATTACTAAATGTAAAAAACTTCGTTTTACATTTTAGGTCACCCTGCCTCGGTGGGAGACGGCCAGTACGTAAAAAAAAATGCAGATTTTTAGGTGCGGAAATTTTCAAGCTGTAATGTATACAAAAAAAGCCTGTCCTATTTTGAAGAGAGAGTGTGAATATCCTTACTTTATAGTGTTGTGTTAGGTGTTTTGTCATGCCAGAATTATCACGTCACTGCACTTGATGCACATTGATGCTAATTTCGACATCTTGGTGATTTTATACTCATTGTCTTTATAAGTTCATTTATTTTGCATAGGTTGACTAGGTCGTTATTGGAAGATCCATACCTGACACTCCCACCGTGGAAGTCAACAATGCATGTAAAAAATGTGATCACGAGAGTTTGGTGTTGATCTGTGGTTATCTGCAGTGCCCCACCCTCCTGTCTCACCGTTATTCTGTCACGCCCTCCTGTCCTACCGTCCTGATCTGTCACACCCTCCTGTCCTGCTGTCACACCCTCCTGTCCTGCTCTGTCACACCCTCCTGTTCTGCTCTGTCACACCCTCCTGTCCTGCTGTCACACCCTCCTGTCCTGCTGTCACACCCTCCTGTCCTGCTCTGTCACACCCTCCTGTCTTGCTTTGTCACACCCTCCTGTTCTGCTCT